CCAAAAAAAGAAAGCCAGTTGGTTTCCCTTCTGCGTCTGCAAGCGCTCGTGAGGGGGAGAGGGAGAAGGGTGTAGCCAGATCAGAAACGAGATAGGATGGGAAGACACCAGACCTCTTTCCTTCCATATTTTCTCGGCTCGACAAGCTCCCTGCGTGCGTCAGCCCGGAGCAGGGATGAAGGAAGCGTGTCCTGGTGGCTGCTGACCCGGCGCTGCAGCTCCAGCTGCTCCTGGTGCAGTGCGGGGAGGCAGCCACGGCGAGGAGCTTCCTTCCCACGGGATGGCCAGGGCTGGCAGGGCAAGGCAGGAGGCCTGGCTGCCCTCGGGGGTGTGGAAGCAGGAGCTGGGTGCTGGCCCTGGCTCCTCGGGGCACGGCCAACATTCCATCCCCATTGGGGAGCCCCAGGTGGACGCAGAGCACGTAGGTCCCACACAGGTGGCCGCCTCTAGTTTGGAGTGTCCTGGTGACCAAAAGGCATGTCTGCAGGGTCAGGGCAGGGCTGTGCCCCCTCGGGGCAGCAGGGGCTGTGCTCTGGGCAGCTGCTTCAGGGCATCTATTTCTGGCCCCTGGGACAGGGAGGGCGTGCGGTGGAGCAGCCTACGGGACCCACAGGAGCTGAGGGCTATTTCTGGCTCTGGCTCTGGTTGCTGACACTCCAGGCCACCCTTGGTCAGTCTCTTCCCATGTAACTCCCTTGCGCCAGGTTCACCCTTAATCTCCAACCCAAGCCTCCCACTGCCACCCCCACCAGATGCTCCTGGGTGGCACGGGACAGCTGCCATGTGCCAGGCAAGGTTTGTCACAAGACCATGACGCTGGCTGTGATCTTTTGATGTGAATCTGCAGTGGGCTGGCAAGACGTGCCCTAGGATTGCTATTGAGAGGCAGACAATGCCCCTGGGGCATGTTTTTATCAGCCTAGAAATGGGTGGCCTACAGACTGAGGCAAAGAGGTGGGTATGTTGCAAAACAGAGCAGTCATTGCCATCCAGATGTCATGCTCCAGCTTGTGCCAAAGGCTGTGAGCTCTGTGGCCTGGGGTCCTCTTCTCCATCCCATGGACCAGCCCCAGGCAGAAGGGAACAGTGGGCATCAGGAGTGGGCCCAGGGACCCCAGAGGCCGTGGCACAGAAACTCATTGACTGGCACCCTCACATCTTCCCCACCAGCTTCTATATATGGGCCTGCCCTCTCTGAACCCATCACACTGGGATCTCAAGTGTCACACCGGGGAGGGACGGGGGGGGTGTCTAATTTTAGCCCCTGAATGGATCTGTGCTGGAGCTGAGCTCTCTGCCCCCGTCAAGGGTACAGAGCATCATGTTGTGCTGGGAGGACTTTCCTGCGTGGCTCTTTGAATGGCTCCATCACCCGCTGAGGTTGTGGCACAGGTAGGATGCAGCTCTGTCATCCCTCTGCTTCTCCTCCTCCTGCTGGATCCCCCACCTGCTGCCACGGGGCTCTGCTGCATCTCCCTTCCCAGAGCCACGGGTACAGAGGGGGCAGCTGAAATGCCCTTGTTTGAGCTCCAGGCTGCCTTCATGCCTGATGCCATGGGACTCTTCACACAGCATGAACCTCCCAATTTTTTCCACGGGCTGTAGGGAGTGGGAGAGGGGTGTGTGAGGTGTGATGCTGCTGCGGAGGGCATCCCAAACCAGCCTGGGGCAGCAGGTGCAGGAGGGGCCTGAGGGGGGTAGTAGTGGTCTGTCTCACTGCTGGCTGGGTTGTGCTCCAGCACAGCCATACTTGTCCTGCTGGGTCTGCCAGGAGCTGCCCTCGCCTCCCATGGATTTCAGCTGGAAATGAGTGAGGATATGGGAACGCAGATGGCTGGGAAGCAGCGCAGGGACCTGGGGAGGGAAAGGGTTTGGGGCACACACCTCGGCTATGTCTGCGGATGCCGGTGCCCCCTTCCTCACGCCCTGATCTCTCTGCCCCCCCTTCCCCTTGCTTCGCTGCTGCAGGCATGGATAACTTCGAGTACAGCATCCAGCTGAACGACAGGGAGTGGGCTGAGTTCCTCTCGGCGTCGGAAGAATGTGCCCTAGCGCCCGCCGCCCTGGCCACGGCCGAGGAGCAGTGTCTCAGTGACATTGAGCAAGGGGACGGCGTCCCGGGGAGGGACTGCAGCGCCGGGCAGCTCGCCGACAGGGTGGGCAACAAGCCAGGGCCAGGCTGGGGACACTCTGCCCCACGTGGGGTGGCCACAGACACCTCCCCGCCATGGAGCTAGACCCTCCAGGCAAGGCATGCCAGGAGGTGCTGGAGAAGCCTCTCCATCCCAAGAGTGTGGTGGCTTCTGCAAGGGATGGTGCTGGGGGAGCTCATGGGGAACCTGCAGCCAAGACCCCCATGGAGCTAGACCCTCCAGGCAAGGCATGCCAGGAGGTGCTGGAGAAGCCTCTCCATCCCAAGAGTGTGGTGGCTTCTGCAAGGGATGGTGCTGGGGGAGCTCATGGGGAACCTGCAGCCAAGACCCCCATGGAGCTAGACCCTCCAGGCAAGGCATGCCAGGAGGTGCTGGAGAAGCCTCTCCATCCCAAGAGTGTGGTGGCTTCTGCAAGGGATGGTGCTGGGGGAGCTCATGGGGAACCTGCAGCCAAGACCCCCATGGAGCTAGACCCTCCAGGCAAGGCATGCCAGGAGGTGCTGGAGAAGCCTCTCCATCCCAAGAGTGTGGTGGCTTCTGCAAGGGATGGTGCTGGGGGAGCTCATGGGGAACCTGCAGCCAAGACCCCCATGGAGCTAGACCCTCCAGGCAAGGCATGCCAGGAGGTGCTGGAGAAGCCTCTCCATCCCAAGAGTGTGGTGGCTTCTGCAAGGGATGGTGCTGGGGGAGCTCATGGGGAACCTGCAGCCAAGACCCCCATGGAGCTAGACCCTCCAGGCAAGGCATGCCAGGAGGTGCTGGAGAAGCCTCTCCATCCCAAGAGTGTGGTGGCTTCTGCAAGGGATGGTGCTGGGGGAGCTCATGGGGAACCTGCAGCCAAGACCCCCATGGAGCTAGACCCTCCAGGCAAGGCATGCCAGGAGGTGCTGGAGAAGCCTCTCCATCCCAAGAGTGTGGTGGCTTCTGCAAGGGATGGTGCTGGGGGAGCTCATGGGGAACCTGCAGCCAAGACCCCCATGGAGCTAGACCCTCCAGGCAAGGCATGCCAGGAGGTGCTGGAGAAGCCTCTCCATCCCAAGAGTGTGGTGGCTTCTGCAAGGGATGGTGCTGGGGGAGCTCATGGGGAACCTGCAGCCAAGACCCCCATGGAGCTAGACCCTCCAGGCAAGGCATGCCAGGAGATGCTGGAGAAGCCTCTCCATCCCAAGAGTGTGGTGGCTTCTGGAGGGGATAGTGCTGGGAGAGCTCACTGGGAACCTGCAGCCAAGACCCCCCTGGAGCTGGACCCCCCAGGCAAGGCATGCCAGGAGGTGCTGGAGAAGCCTCTCCATCCCAAGAGTGTGGTGGCTTCTGGAGGGGATAGTGCTGGGGGAGCTCACTGGGAGCCTGCAGCCAAGACCCCCGTGGAGCTGGGGGCCCCGTGCTGTGCAGCTGAGGCCTCTGCAAGGGCAGACACCCTGGATGTGACTTGGCCCGAGATGTATGAGTATTTGTTCTGTGACTCCCAAGGGGAAGAAGAAGGAACGGAGGACTCTCTGGAGGGGAAGAAAACACCCTTGGAAAGGGAAATATCCTTGCCTGAACTGTATGAGTATTTTTTCAATGAACCAGAAGGAAACAGGAAAAAAGCCAAGGGTAAAGACAGGAAGCGAAAGAAGTTCAGCAGCTTGGACCAGACTCTGCTGCAAAACGAGGATCCTGACGGGTCTCCCATCAAAGACTCCCTGGTTATCTCAGTCCCTGAGGTGTCCAAACACTTCTTTCGGGGTGGGCCTGGGAACAGGGCAGGCTGGAGAGGGATCTTCCCAATCGCCCCAGCCTCTGAGGTGAAGAAAGCTGTGGGGGCTTTGAAGTCCCTCCTGCAGCGGCCAATGAGGCTGGTGAGAGGCCAAGCCCCAGCTGCCCAGGCTCTGGTTCGGAGGAGATCTGGAGAGAAACTCGCCCTCGTCCCTCTGGCTCCACTGGGAAGAGGCCAGGAGCAACCAGAAGGGTTGGACATGGCCCTTGCACTGACAGGTAAAGCATTGTTACCCCCTGCCAGGAAGCCCTGGCACGTTTCCTTGCCCCACAGCAGCCCTGGGCTCTCGCAGGGATCTTTGGATGGGTGGCTGAGGCCACCACCATGACGTGCTGTGTGGCACTGGCTCTGTCTCCTGATGCTCACCATGTCCCTATGCCAAGATAATGCTGCTGGCCCAGCCCTGCAGGAGGCATGGAGAGGGAATCTGGCTGTATTCTGTACACAACTGGCTTTGCTCCCCACAAACTCCAATGCTGAGGCTCATGGCAGTGTGCATGCCACCAGCTGAAATCAGTTTGGCCCAAAGTTCCTCTCCCAGCTGACTCAGTTATCCCCCTGATGGATATAATGATATAACTTACTGTGGATCTGATCTGTTCTTTTGCACTCTGGCCAAGAAAAGCTTCCTGGAGTGGCTGGTAGCATTAAACATGACATGTCTGGTGTCATTGCAAGGTCTGGGGGGATAGGAATCCCCTCCCATTGCCATCCATCTGCCTACAGAACCACATACCTGTAGTTCTGGTTGAGGGAATGGGAGGCAAAGCAGCAAAATCCTTGCATCCCAAAGATCTCATGCCCCTGAGATGAGGCAGTGGCTGCTGAGCTACTGGCTTGTCAAGTCTGGGCTGCTAATCCATCTGATATTGGTAGGGGAAAAGGTGTGCATGGAGTGGAACATGCCCAGGGCTGCCCACTGAAAGAGGTGAGGGGGACTTTATAGCACAAACTCATTTGAAAAACACCCTCCTGAGACCTCAGAGGTTGCCTGAGTATTAACTGGTACTGGAAGGGAGGGGAAACAGAATGAAGGGAGAGCAAGTCTGACCCACTAGGACAGCCAGTGTGTTTATCTTAAAGCTTATATGATGCTCACAGCCCCAGTGCCTCACAGTTAATATTAAAACCAAATAATGAATGAGTCATCCCAGAAGGTGCCTGAAAATAGAGCTTCCAGTCTGTTTGCACAGAGGAAAAGCCCCTTTGCCAGGGTCGTAGCTAATTAATAAGCCAGCTTTAATTAAAAGCCTGATCAAATAAACATAGGAGTAAAAATAACCTGCTCTTGCAATGTATCTTCAAGTGGTGCTAGACTGGAACTCCAACAGAGAAATGCAGGGCACTGAGGGTTGTTTTTCTCCCTGGCAGTGGCAGGTGGGGCAGTGAGGAGGGGTCTGCAGAAGGATGCTGAGCACTGGTGCTTCTCAGGGGGGTTTGTGCTGTCCTAGAGCTGCATGGATCTCAGGGCACTGCCTGGCAGGACCCTGCCCAGGGGGACCTGCCTGCAGCCCCAGGGCACAGGGCTTCCCTCGGGGTCTGAGCAAAGGGTAAAGCTGAGAGGGGTGAAAAGTGTTCCCGGCTCCTCAGGAAACACACCCAAGTCCTAAACAGGACTAGACCAGCAGTGAAAACAGGTCTTCTGGGAGGGCAGATGTGTGACCAAGGTGTATTTCTCTGGGAGGGCAAAGGGATTCACTGCCCAGAGGGATGGGAGGCAGAGGAGATGGTGTAAAAGCCCAAACCTCCTTCTCTTCTCCTCGCAGGGACGCCCGAGGTTCCGCTGGCGCTGACCCACAAAGACATGTGCCTGGTCTTCTGTGCCTTTGCCTCCTGGGCAGTGAAGACCTCCGACCTGCAGGCTCCAGATGCCTGGAAAACCAGTATGTACAGAGCCCAGCCTGGTGGGAAATGGGTGGGAAGGACCTTGTGGAAGACATGGTGGGGAGAAAGGCAGGGCTGCTGACACACCTGACACTGCCTGTGGGGAAATGCAGTCGTTTTCCTGGTTTTCCAAAGTGTCCTGTTACTTCCTAACACCTCTCTCCTATAGAAATGGCTGTCCTGGTTCCTACCCACTTAGGTTGTCCTTTCCCCAGACAAAGTGACTGCTGACTTGAACTGAGCCACAGGACAAGTTGGTATCTCTAGCTTTGGCCCTGCTCCATCCAGCCTGGCAGGGACCAACACCAGAGCCAGGGGACAAGAGGCTTCTTTAGGATCCATGCTGGTTAGAAGCTGGAGCAGGACCTAAAGTGTAAAGGTCCATCTCAGCTGGAACAAATGCACGTATTTTTCTAACATGCTCTAAAGGTACAATCTTTTTTCTAAATCATAGATTCATTAAGGTTGGAAAAGATCTCTAAGATCATCAAGTCCAACCATCAACCCAACACCACCACGCCCACTAAACCCTGTCCTGAAATGCTCAGCTGAGGTATCCTGGTGCAGAGTCCTGCAAGCAAACAGAGCTCTCCCAGTTCCTCTCCAACCACAGCACTTGAATAACTGGTGGGGACAGAGGGAGCTGAATTAACTGAGCAGCAGCCCAAGGGCTGCAGGTCACTGGATGAGCAGGACAAGGGACCAGCCCGTGGGCACCACAGATCCCCCACCATGGGGTGAGACACCAGGGCCAGGGCTTCCCACTGCTTGTCCCTGGCAGGAATGTCCCCCACTAAGGTCACATAGGAAGCTGACACCCCTGCCTGAGAATAGCTCATTAGCTAAAGTTGCTGGGAGCAGTCATCACAAGGAGCTTTTGGCCTTTCCTTCTTAGTATGAGATGGTCAATGTGGCCTCAGAGAGGGTGTGAAAAGCAGGATCTGGGCCTCGTGCCCCAGGGATTGCATAACCCAGTGAGCAGGAGGGGAGGCCAGAGGCCTGGCTGGCATCCTGGGCCAGCAGCTCTCTTCTGGCACTTTAGGGTCTAACAAGTTGGATTTCCCTGTCTATATCCCCAGGTTCTGACATGTAAAACCAAGTCAAGTCTGAATTCAAACTGGGAAGTCCAAAGGCACAGGGTGGGCTCTCAGTCTATCTTGGGCATGGATCAGGGGAATTTTACCTCTCTTAAAAGCCAAGCTAAAAACAGTAGCAGAAAGTACAAAGAAGAGCTTGATTCTGTGTATAATCTGCATTAGTTATTTTTTGTAGCTTTACATTTTCTGATTCTGGGTTTGGGGCATTTTCTGCTTTTGGCTGGGATCAGGGTATCCACAGACAACCCACAAAATGGTTATTTTTCTTGGCATCTTCCTGGTCCAAACAGAAGTAGAAAATGAAGGGACTGTCCCGAATCCCTGGTGACTTTTTCTTCTCACCCCAGATTAATTCCCCTAGATCTCCACATGAACCTGTATATCTAACGACCACCCATCTCCTCCACATGCATAAAATGTGTTGTGTTTCTCTTCAAAAACAGACATTTCCTGTCAGATGGAGGTGTGATCCATGTGCCCAAACTATAGGACTAGCTGTGGTTGGTCAGGTTGGGCACAGGTCAGGGCTGAACACACTGGGAACCAGCACAGTGTGGTGGGAATGAGGAGCAAAGGCAGGAGGGGACTGAAAAGGGAGGGGAGTGACCCCCACACATCCCATGGACCAGGGCGAGCCAAGAAGCTTGTGATCTTGGGTTGGAAGAGATCTTCAGGTTTGGAAGAAGCACCCAGACTCACTCTGGAAATGTGTTGGGCTCTTTTCCAGTGTTCCTGGCAAGTTTTGGCACCCTCTCTGCCATCCGCTACTTCCGAAGGCAGGTCAGAGAAGGACACCCCCGGGTCTAGGCTCTGCACACCAGAGGTGCTTCCCGAGGACATGCCAGGATGGTGGAGGTGGAGACTGGGGACTTTGTTCTTGGGCAGTGTGAGAAGCCTGGATCCCAGCACCAAGACTTCTCTGGACCCATCCCTAAAGAGGACAGATGTCACAGGGAGCAGGATCCTTCCAGTGACAGTCACTTGCAATACGGTAGGAGGTTTGTACCCGTGCTGGACAGAAGAGGAGCCCAGCCTGGGCTCTGGTCTTTCTTTGCACAACTTCTTGCATATTTGTGCCATCTCCTAGGAGTAGTCACAGTGTCTGTTCTAGGGAGCTGCTTGTCCTTCCTCCCTGCTGCAGCCACCTGGTGGCAAAGGAGGACGTGGAGGGAGGGGAGAGCAAAAAGAAACCAGGAAAGTGCTTCATTCCCGTGAAAAGGTTGGGGTGCCTGTGAAGGACGAGAGGAGAAAGCTTTGGGGAAGAGCTGTCTCTGTCCAAACATGGTCCTTTGCTGAGCATGTGCTGGCTGGGCAGCAGGATGGAGAGGCCACTCACTTGGCAAGGCCCAGGTCTCCCGTGACTGGTTTGGCTCAGTGCAGGAGGACTCATCCTCTTGGATTTCACTCCCAAGAAGTCACAGCTTGGCCTCACGGTTCAGGAGGCTGAGATAGGGTTTCCTGGTGCATGTGGTGGCCTCAGCCCTGCTGAGCTGGAGCTGTGGATGTGGTGTTTGTCCCAGTGGGTGAAGAGCACCCACCGCAACGACACGTCTCCCATGGGCAGGGGTCAAGCAGCCAGAGCCAGGGGAAAGGGCAACTGGGGAGGGTGCTGTGGGATGGAAAGGGGCTGCAGGGGCAGCAGGAAGTGGGGCTGAGCTCTGGGAAGCCTCAGGAAAGAGCCCTGATGAGAACAGGAGAGTATTGGAGAGGAGGATGTACGTGTTTGGCTCTGAGAATCACCAGATGAAGGGTCTAGAAAGATAGACCTGGCTGGGAGGAGATGGGGAGTGAGGAGGTGCTGTGGCTGAGTGTGCAGCCTTGTGGGGCTGGGGAGGGTGGAGGGACCCAGGATGGAAGGTGGGGTGAAAAATGAAAAGTGGTTCAGGTTCTTCACTGTCTCTAGTGCCTTCCTGATCACTCAAAGGCATTATTCATGAGGGGTTTTCTTCACTCCCAAGTGTGATAACAGCATGAATGTCAGATTTGTTAAGCACTTAGGGACCAGATCCACAAGGGTACTGGGAGAAATCTGCCCAGAGGACCTATGTGGATCTGTCTGTGAGCTTTACAGGAACAGTCTGTGGCAACGTTTGTCTTAGGAAACGAGGGAGAAAAAGTTTAGCTCTTTCCTTGTGCTGCAGAGTGCCATGCAACTTTAATGTGTGTGAGGTTGTACTTAAGACCATCTATTATTGCTGATAAGAGAACAAACTACCATTGTACAGTGAGATACATGGCAGTGAATAGCAAGAAAGAGGGATGTTCAGGGTCTGTGTGGACTGTAGTAGCTGGATATCCAGTAAGAGAAGTTTTGTGGAGGAGGAGAACAGATAACATATGCTGGAAGCTTCTAATAAACATCTATCTCATGTAATACTTCTGTGTACATTCCTGTGTCTGCATTGTTTGTGTGTGAAGCTGTTGAGTGAGCACTGGGCTTTAAAGAATGAGAAATCAATCCATTATGTGTCTGTTGACAGAAAAATGAGGGAGTTGATGTGCTGGTTGAGGAGCCCTGGGGGGGACAGAGTATGCAGGGAGATGGGCTGTTTCTCCTCTTCTTTGGCTCAGTCCCCATGCCAGCCCCTCTGAGACCCATCCTGGCTGTCACATGTTGCTAACAGCCTGATCCAGAATCACAGAATGGTTCTGGTTGGAAAAGACCTTTAAGATCATCGAGTCCAACCATTGATCCAACTCTACAGAGTCCAGTGCTTAAACCAGATTCCTAAGCAGCACATCTGAATGTCTTTCAAACAGCTCCAAGGATGGTGATCCAACCACTTCCCTGGACAGACTGTTCCAGTGTTGAATTACCCTTCCAGTGAAGAAGTTTCTTCTCATGTCCAACCTAAACCTCCCCTGGCATGTCATGCAGAGTTAAGTCCCCAGGGTAAGGGACATGCCCACATCCTGAGCTGTCACTGCTGACTTCTGGCTTAGTTGGAATTGCTCAGATTTTGTGTTTTCTAGCCTTGTCACACAAATCCAGAGGAAATAATGTTTTCCATCCACTTTGCAGGTGCAGGAACAGTTCATTTCCCTCCCAGCCATGTACAGTGCTGGCAGTTCATAAATGATTGTGCCAAAAGTCACTGAACTGAAATGGTTGGGAGAGATGTTCTGGTTTCTCTCAGGGATTACAGAGTTGGCCTGACTCCCTCCCTGAGGGATGCAGGATCCATCTCACTCCCTCACTGCCTCCATCCTACTGTTCAAAAAGCCATCCTGGATCCTCCCAGGAGAGCTCAGTACTCTGTGAAGCTGTAGGTAACATGAGGTGCCTGTCACCTCTACCAGCTGTTGCCCTTGCCTGTCTCTGATAATTGGTCTCTGATCCTTCAGAGCTTGGGTTTGGAGACATGAATATGATCTGGCACCTCCCCCTGCTAAAAGTTACAGAAGGTGCCAGATGTTCCATCAGGTTGTAGGTGCATTTCACACTTCTTTTGTTCTCTACTGGAAGAAGGGGATGGAATAAATATTTCAGAAGACAGATGTTTTCAGGCCTCTGCAGGAGCAAAAGGAGATACTGAAAGATCTTGTTGGTATCAGGAGATCAGCTCTGGGAGTGCCTGCTGCACACAGGCAAGCAGCAGTGTCTCCAGTGTCCTTGAAGGAGACCAGCCTGGGCTTGCCTGCAATTTTAATGCTTGGTTTATTCTCCAGCCTTTCAAGCTCTCTCCTCTCCCTCCACGGCCAGGTCACCTTGCCTGCATCTCACCTCAGCAGCCACCACAATAGGCACGACCTTTTCAGTGCATCCTGGCTGCCATGAGCCTGTTTTCCCTTCCCCAAAGGGAGGGAGGTGCTGGAGGTGGGAGCTGTGCCATCCCACCCTGCCTCGCACGTAGCTCCCACATCTGACACCCCCTCTTGCCAGGCAGATGAAAAAGTCAGGCAGGTGCACGCTCAGGAGCTGCCTCCATGTTTCCTCTGGCCTTGATCTCCATGTCTCCATGTCTCCTTGATCACCAGGGGCTGCTGGAGCCCCAGCCTGCAGGAGGGGCTGCTCACCCCCCCCTTCCCTGCACCACCACTTCTCTCCTTTCCCTCCTTTTTTGGGCAGCTTTATCTCTCTTCACAAAACCAGAGCAAAGCTTCCCGTGGACATTTCTGCTCAGCGGGACTGTCCCCACACTTCAGAGGGGTTTTGGGGGGCTGGCAGGGGGGGCCAGCCCTGGGGGTGCCAGCCCTGGGGGGCAGCAGGCACAGAAGAAGGAACATCACCTCCCAGGAGGGACAGAAACCCGGTTGCTTCAGCCCTCCCAGCCGTGAGAACATATTTTGGTGGATTCCCCCACCCACAGGGCAGTGAGGGAGTTGCTCATCACAGACTGAAGCAAATCCTGCTCATCTCCAGCTCCTCAGGGAACCGAGGGCTCTGCGAGGGAGGTGCTGGCTTTTTCCGAGCAGGATTAGAGAGAGCAGGTTTGCCCAGCAGGTCCTTTTCCTGACCTCCCGTGTGGTTCCAGGCAGCAGCTCCCAGGCAGGGAGAGACACGTTCACACCAAGTGCTCCCTGAGGAGTTCCCAAACCTCGGGTGTTTTTGTAAATACAATAAAAGAGATGCCAGAGAGTCCACGCAGAGGGCAAGAGAGGGAGCTGGGCAGGTGGGCTGCTCTGCTGCGGCCACACTCTGTCCTCACTCACTTCTTTTTTAAACTCCTGAAGCCAGAGGAGCAGGTCTGTGATGGTTTGGGGGCTTTTTGGTCTTGGGGAAGGGCATCAGAAGTAGCTGAGAAGCTTCTCCTGCTCCAAACCCAGCCAAGGAGCCATTAGAGAGACAATAGACGTGCCTCTGCCATTAACAGTTAAGGTAGAGCAGCTGGGCTGAGGTGAAAGGTGAAGATCCCAGGTGGTTTTAGGAGGAAGAAGGGGAAGAAGGAGCAGAAGTTTCCCTGCAGCCCATGGTGAGATGGCAGCTGTGCCCCTGCACTCATGGAGGGTGGGAAAGGCTCCTGGAGGAGAGGTTGGTGGAGGGACCCCTGGGGAGCAGGGCAGGGCTGTCAGGAATCCTCTGGAGGAGGAGGGAGCAGCAGGAACCAGCAGCCTGAACTGCTGGGGGGAAGGAGGGAGAGAAACGGGGAGCAAAGGGATTTGGGCGGGAAGCGGCGCGTGTCTGTGAGGGGGTAATGCGCGCAGGGCCTGCTCTGTGTCCTGTGGGCACTGGATTAGTGTGAAATCGAATTATCGGGTTTTTCCCCAAGTTGAGGCTGTTTTGCCCGTGACCTTGTCCTTTGTCTCGACCCAGGAGCTTCTAGTTGGCCTTTGTCCTCCCCATCCCAGTGTGTGTGGGGGGAGTTGAGCCCCGGGGCTGGTTCTTTGTTGTCATGTTAGGCCCAAACTTAGGCCACAGGCTCCACTTTCCTTTCATAAAAAAACCATCTCTCTCTGCTCGTGATTCTTTGAGCAAAAGAAGCGTGAAAACGTGGCTTGGAAATCAGGAAGCTGAGAGGAAAGGAGCAGCCCCTGCTGCTCCAGTAGCTGCTCTGGTTTTCCAGCTACAGTTTCAGAAGCAGGGGGGGCCTGATCCAGGACTTTTAGCACTTGGAAGGAGAAGGGGGGTGGAGAGATGGTTTGTCAGCGAGTGAATTGTTGGCAGGGAGTGTCATCTCATGCCTTTCATCTGCCTCTGTGGACACAGACACAGCTACCCTGTGACTGGGCTGGCAGTGGGATGGGCACAGGCTTGCTGGGCTGGCACTTGGTGGGTGCCCTGGTTCAGGCCGCGCTGCTGCTGCAGCCAGGCTGTGAGGGATGGATACATTTATCAGGAAATAAGAGGTATTTTGTGTGTTCACAGGTTCTGCAGTTCCCATTTGATGCAGCCTGCGCTGAGAGACACCTAGTGCCACTTTAGGTAAACCTTCTGTTTGTAAATCCTGTGTCTGCTGAGAAATGTGTTGGAGGGAAAGCAGGAGGGTCTTCATGGTGACAAGGTGGGTGTCCATGAGCAGAGCTCACAGAGCAGCCCTGTTCTCACCTGCTCTGGAGCCACTAGGTCAGCATCTGGACAGGAAACCATCCAGGGAAACCAAAGGCCAGTAAAGCCCATGATCCAACTGGGAAAGCAGGCTGTGCTGAGGAGCTATGGTGTGGGTCTTGACAAAGCTGATGCTTATGGGACCTGGTCTGGAAATATTTTAGAGCTTGCACACACACATGAAGTGCTCTGCATTCATTATACCAGCCTAGTGAAGCTGCATATCTTTCTAAAGTAGGGACAGATGGAGGGAGAGCAGGAAGAAGTGCTTCTACTTCTAGGGCTGCTAAACCTAGCTGGGAAAAGGTGTAAGTAAAACTCCTTGAGCTGCTTCTGTGGCTGTGTAGCCCTTTGAGTGGCAGTTTGTTACCACAATACTCGGGTCCTGTGCACACCCACAGCCCGTCTCTCCCCTGCTGCCAGCCCCTGACGGTGTCTGATTGCTAAGGGCAAGCTCACATTTCATCCTGAAACACTATGTTCTGACCCGGGCAGCAGCTGGAAAGAGCTACACTCTGCCCCAGAAGTACCTCAGGAACAAGGCAATAACTCAGGCACAGAGGCACGAACACAGGGATGGAGTTCAGGACCTGAAACAGGAGCCAAACAGACCACAGCAGCTGCGCGCAGGGGTGTGCAGGAAGCGTGAGAAACGAGCAGCCTGCCTGCTGAAAGGGCAGCAGTTGAAAGAGTGACAAATTTAGCCCAGATGTAGCCAGGGAGGAAAGCTGCCACTCTGGGAGCAGGACTAAAATGGCTCGAGAAGCTGTGTCATGTCTCTGCAGTGTTTGGGGGTCTCAGGCCTTGCCACTGGTGGCCCCGTGTGTCACTGTCACCCATCACTGTGGTGGCATGGGGGAGCTTGGGAGAGCTGCTCACTAGGGACACATACACCAACACCTCTGCCTCTTGCATGGCACGGGCATTCCCTGCTGGACACAGAGCCATCCAGTGTCACCAGCTGATTTTCACCCCCAGAACACAGGGCTGAAGCAAAGTCTGATTCACTTTGGCATTAAACCTCCAGCCTGGTCCCATTGCCTGACAAATGCAGGGGAGACTTTGCTTTAGGATTAGGTGTTTATGAGTGACCTGGACAGTGCACTCTGGAAATCCTCCTGGAGCCAGGGCCCCAAAGCCCTCAAGGGAGGAGGAGTTTTGGAAAGGACAACAGCGATCGACAAAAATTCACCTCCATTAAACTAGGGGACCGCAAAGAAAGAGAGAAGCAGAAAAGTATTCCAGAAGAATGTGTATTGCAATTGTCCAGTCTGACAGAAATCCACCAGGGAACTTTTACAGCAACAGGGAGGATCTTTTCCCTTTTGATACACTGCAGATATCACTGCTGAAATCAAATTAAAAAGATCATGGTGACAGTTTCTGAAGTCAGCGTGTTCAGAGGAGCTTGTGAGCGTGGCTGCCCCCCAGCTTACCATGTGCTTCTAATGTTCCCTAGTGCAGCTTTGTTCTGAAGAAACAGATCCTTTTGGGGTTGCTCTTAGATACAAATCTTCCCAAAATGACAGTAAACAAAATCAGCTAGAAGACCCAAACCAACACACACACACACAAATGTGCAGACAGCTGCCCATTCTACAGTACCAAACATCACCCGCAGCTAGAAAATTAAATACATCTTCAACTCAGCCACATTTACACATTAAATACATATAATCCACTCAAACCTTGCATGTAAACTTTGTTGGATACCTTCTGAAAAAAAGAAAATACAAGTACAATGTAATACATAGATATTCAAGTACAAAGAGCTCCTGGATTCTTTTGTTTGCACCAGTGAAAGAACAAAAATAGAGATTTTGTTACTATGTTTGGTTTGTTGCCTCTTCAGGGAACAAAGGTTAAGAATTTGGAGCCTCAGGTAAAAACATTTGGATTTGCTGCTGACCTTATATGTGCTAAAGGATCTGACCTAAGAGAATGGAAAACTGAGACTCTTGTCCCTTGTTGTTTGTGTCCTGGTCTTGCTGCTCTGGAGAGGGGAAGAGAGAAGTTGCAGCACACACTGACACTGCTCTGATCACTGGAGTGTTATGGCTGTACTAGAGTTTGGCTTGTAGTGAATATTTTTCCTTCCCTCCTTGCCCAGATACTCATAATCAGCATTTTGTGGGAGTTCAGTAAGGTGCAGAGGGGTGGGAGGAAAGGACACAGTCCTGTAGGAGGAATCTAGGGCATCCTTGCCAGGGAAGACCTTAGTAAACACAAGCCACTTGACATATTTGCTGGTAGCACAGTTCTTGGTTCCATCTGCCAAGGTGGCAGGCTCATAATATTGCAGGTCACCACCATGGTTTGGAGCCAGCACTGGCAAGAAAGATATTTTTTTTTTGCATAAAGTGGAAGGAAAATCCCATTCTGCCCAGATCTGGAATTTTCCCTCCATCTCCATCAGATAACTCTGGCCTCTCAGGAAGACAATCCCATGAGCTCAGCTCTTGCTGCCAACTTTACAGATCACCATGGGGCATGTCTCATACATCTTTGTGGACTTCAGAGCTCAATGGGGGAAGGTTTGGCTTAACAGCTATTTCCAGGGATCAGTGGATCCTCAAAGTGACCAGCCTGAGGGTTCTGGTAAAAAGGGAAATGATCAAACTAACCCAGCCAAACCCCAGCCCTTTTCTTTGGCCTTTGAGAGACTGCTCTGAACACCAGGCCCTTTTTTCTGAGGGAGCCTGAGCTTTTTGTTCCTCCTTTTATTTTCAGGGGGCAATGCTGTTCCCTCGCCAGGGCAGCGGCAGAGCAAGCTCCTTAGCAGGGCACACGTGCTGCTCCTCTGGGTCCACAGAGGCTCTTGCTTTTGAGCTTTACCCCCATCCTCAGATTTAGGGGAGAAGCTTGAACTCTGGACCTGCCAGGACATGAGAACCAGCCTTTGGCAGAGCAGGGCCCTTCCTTTTGCTTTCTACGTCCCAGGCTCCTCACTGGAGGGGAGCCCAGTGAGAAAAAAGCCCTGGGGGCTCTTTTGTGCTTGGCTGTGGGTTCCTTCCCTCAGACCTGGTAAAACTGTTGGCCAGGAGCTGGGGAGGTGTGGGGGGTGTCTGGCTCCTTCCCCTCAGCTTCCCACAGGTTGTCATAGCTGAAGTCACTCTGGAAGCTCTGGAGCTCAGCGTAGTCATGGTAGGCGGCCGAGTCGCGGTGCGAGCAGCTGGAGCCTGGCAGGTCGTAAGGGCTGAAATTCCCACCTGCAGAAAAACACACCCAGGTGTTCCTGAGAGAGCTCAGGAGCAACCCCATGGCTGCCTTCTGCTCCACCAGCAGAAAGAAGGCACAAGGGTCAGCAAAACCACAGCCCAGAGGCAACTAGATCTAGGCAAAGCAGTGGAAGGTGCCAAGCACGCCACAGAACAGACCTCGAGGCCCCAGGGGTGAGGGGTGGGCAGGGAGTGGAAACCAAGGCAGTGGCCCCCAGCAGGCACAGGCAAGGGGCAGGGTGACAGACTGGGTCTGTCACAGGGAAGCAGGAGGAAGGAAGGGCATGTGTGAATCCCTGCGATCCATCTCAGCCCTGCTTTGAGTGATGCTTATGGAGACAGACACCAGCGAGGTGGGGTGGGCTGCAGCACCCAAGCAGCTTCCCAGGAGTCTCACCTGGCGGCTGCAACGAAGGGCCCAGATGTTCCTCTTGCAGAGAAGAGGCCTGAAAAGAAAGAGATATGCTGATGAGGATGACCTGGAGCTGCAGTCCTGAGTACCACACACCAGGAATCAGCTCTCTGTTGGTTTCCCTGGGTCATCCCGGGTCACAGAGCAAAGGGCTCAGAGCTTGGCAATGACCGACCACTCTGCCAGCCTGGAGAAAGCAAGCTGGGACCCTCACACCCCCCTGTGTTCCCCTGCAGCCTGCATAGTGTGGAGCAGTAGGACTGCATTTGCAAACTCACATCTTCAAGATAAGAAGCATCAGAAGGCAACAGCTGGAGGTGGCAGGAGGTGCTGTAACTGGGAGGTGCAGGCAGGTCTCTGCAGTGACTGCTGGGCTGGCAGCTCCTCCTCTGCAAGGGTCCCGGGAGGGATGGGCACCTGTTCCCCTGTGCTGAGCCCGTCTGTCCATGACACTGCAGGAACTGAACCAAAACATACTCTACGTTTGAGATCAGCAGTGGCGAGCTGAGAACACTGACTGCCTGCTTCCCACCAGCCCTGCACTGAACTGACTTAGGCAAAGCAAGGTTTTCAGCCTGCCTTGCAAACTCCACTACATTCCAAGCCTAAAGGCCTTAAGGCAGGAAAGAAAGAATGGCTGTGGTCCCTCAGAAGGACCCAACAGAGGTAATGGAAGCTGGCCAGACATGAAGGCAGTAGGATGAAACCTACTGGCAGCTCAAGGGATGCAGAAGGACAGAAAG